GTCTTGTGGCCTGGGGCGTGGTCTCGGAGCCTGGGGGCGGGACCCGAGTGCTTTCTGGCTTCCGGAGCGGAGGTCTTGTAGTCTAGCGGAGCTCCGCGGCTCTCCCGATCCCTTTTCGCTCGTCTTAAGGGGCGACTCGAGCGGGGGTCTCTTCGGTACCTGCAGAGCCGCATTGGCGCCAAGCATTCAGACCTTCCCGGAGCCCCGGGAGTGGGCGGAGCTGGCGGGGAGCGCTGGGCTTGTGGAACGGGAGCGAGCGGCCCTCCTGAGCGGGGAGGAGGACCGGACCCCGAGAGGCCGCGGGCGCCCGAGGCTCCTGGGAAGGCCGCTGCATCTGGAGCGTGTCGGGACCCTTCGGAACCCGGAGACCGGGAATGACGGGCACTGTGAGACCACCGGGCTGCGAGCGCACCTGGAAAAGCCTGTCTTCACAGGTGCGGTCACTGGAGCGACTCCGGCTTTGCTGTTTAAGCCTGTGGAAGTGTCTAGCACCGGGTGGTTTTGTATAGACCCAGTGAACTGCTTTAATGCCCTCATGGGAGCAATGTGACACACAGATGACAGATGTACAGATCCTGGGTCAGAGAACCAGGCACACACACACGACCGGATGCTGGAGCTATCAGACATCTATTTGGAAAAAAAGAACCTCCCCAAAACAGAATCCATGGCTGTAAAGAAAGATCAGGTGATCTCCATCAAGGAGTAAAATCTAGCCTTTGAAAAGCACAGACTGGGAGAAAGCATTTAGAATTACGATCTACCTGCTAGAGGACTTGTGTACAGACACAGGATTCAGAAGCTTGACAAGAAGACAGATAACCCAGTCCAAAAAAAAGAAAAGAAAAAAGTCTGCACGCAATGGGCACGTGGAGGGCTACTCATATCCATAGGTGAAGAGATGGACGTTAAAATCCTGGGATGGCAGCATCATAAGCTTGGATGATACCCCTCCTCCATGAGGGTGTGTGGCAGCTGGGACTCCCACACATTGCTGTTAGGAGCTGACAGGGGCACATGACTCTGGAAGAATTTTGGCTGACCCTGGCTGGAGTTTCCCCAAGAGCTGCAGTAGTGGGGTTACCTGCAAAGGGAATTGCCCAAATCATCCCCAGAGGGAGACTGTTGAAATTCCAGGGACACGTTAAGTGCCAGGTGGTTAGTGATGAGCATTCACTGGGGGATGTCCCTTCAGGAACCTGCTTGTACCCAAGGGTATAGGAAGTCTTCCTGGTGTGTCCCAGGGAGGCTGCCTGTGGACTACATATGGAATGTGGAGAGACTGGTCTGGGACCAGTTTCTTTCAGTGTTTGGGATCAATGTTTTGGGCTACAGCCTGGGTCCAAGCTGGCAGGGAAAGTGGTGGTGACTGGCCAGTCCAGAGCCATCAAGGCATCTGTGCATCTCGGTCAGGACACAGAAGGGTCCTAGGAGTCCTACAGGAGAGGTTTTGCGGAGGTGGGGGGCATGAGGCAGGGTCTCCCTGTAGCCCCAGCTGGCCTGGAACCCTCTACCAGGCTGACCTGGATCTCACAAAGATCCACTTGGCTTGGCCTCCCAAGTTCTGACAAGCTGTATGCTACCACACCTGGCATTCCTACAAATTTTTATAAACTAAGACTACACTGGCAGTTTGACCAGCCATCCTGTCTTTGCTTTTATCCAGGAGATGTGGACTTCTGTTTACTTGTAAAAGGATGTGACCAGGAGCTCCTGGCTTACATCATGATGAAGTACATGTAGACCTAGCTAGTGGCTCATTTCGCTTGCATCTAACTAGACACCTGGTAGCCCAGCTCTCAACAGCATGACCCTCAACACTGGATTTCTAGGGCCAGCTGTAGGACTTCGGACTACATAGGTACGACTCGACTCTCCAAGCTTCTGTACACGTGGGAGGAACACCTGACCCCTGTAAAGAGACCAAGTCTGGCCTCTGTGGCCTCCCACAGCCCTTTGCCCCACCTCATGAACAGCTCTAGGAAGCCCCATATTGGTATATGATTGCCTGAGTCTACTGAATTTCCCTCTAGAGGAAAGCAAAGCCACACCTCCTCTGTGGGTAGGGCACCTCTTGCTCCAGAAAACACTGTAGGAACTGGCACCCCCCCCCACACACACACGTACAGGACATACGACCTGTGTGCAGATGGATAGTGGACAGGACACTTAAGCACTGCCTAGGACAGGGGAGATGTTGGTCCCAGCCTCCTTCACACTGTGCTTCCAAGGTGGTCCTGAGACAGGCAAGCAGAGAAAATAGTTGTGGGACTCTACTTCATTTGGGTTACACACACTACCCCTTAAAATGCACTTGGCAACCTAGGTCCTCTCCTGTGTGTACTGCACAAACACACACCCCTCTCCAAACAATGCACCTAGCAACCTCACATAGATCCCCACAGGCACTTCTCTCTGAACAATGGGGTAAGTTTCTTCTCCCCTTAAAGACTGTCAAGCTATTCAAACGTATTCCTGAAACATCCTGGTGTGAGGGTAAGAGGGCCAATCTGGGCTGAGCTGGTTTAGGGCATGTGGGCAGTAAGGCATATGATTAAAATCAGAGATATAGAAAGGGGCTTGTGCAGCATGAAAGTGTTACTAGTGGGGAACCTCACATGGGGACTGTTACCAGTAGTCAGGTCAGGTAGTTCCAGGTTCTTGCCTCTTATTTAAGGAATCAAAAGCCCACACAGATTTGCAAAGATTAGCAAGGAAGCTATTTAAAACAAAACAATAAGAAAGAATAGACTCACTACAAGAGAGCAGCAGGCCGTGTGAGTGGAGACACTCAAAGCCCCAGGTTACTCCCTGGGTCTTGTTATGGGTCTAAAGGAAGGAGGGGCTGGCTACTAAGCGGTGTGCATGGTGGAAGGAGGGGCTTCCGAGAAAGAAAGTGTGGCTTGTCAAGGAAAGCTTGCTTAGGCTTTGGCTGATACCTGAAAAAGAGAAGGGAAAAGAAAACGTGTGTGTGTGTGTGTATGTGTGTGTGTGTGTGTGCGCGTGTGCATGTGTGCAGTGCTGGGCTGTGGATCTGAGTTCCGCCCCATTCTAGGTTCCTGTGTCCCAGGGCAAATAACTGCACCAGATCAGAAACAGAGACCACTGATTAAGAAAAGAAAAGCACTCCCAAGAGTGGGAGTGGGCTAGTGAACAGAGGAAGAAGCCCTGTAGCCCTTTAAGGACAGTTTTATCCCCCAACCTCCCCACATGTGCCACACACACTCACGGATACACCTGTGCATGCACGCACACACCTGTTCCCTAGATGAAGCCAAGTTGAAGAAGTTGCTTCCATTCTTCTGCAAACTGCCTTCTTTCATATGTTAATCTAATGTTTCAGTCTTCAGACCCTGGTCTGGCCCACAGGGGTTAGGGATGTGGCTCCATTGGTAGAGTGCTTGCCTACCATCCCCAGCACTACATAAAACCAGGTGGTGGCCGGGCGTGGTGGCGCATGCCTTTAATCCCAGCACTCGAGAGGCAGAGCCAGGCCGATCTCTTTGAGTTCAAGGCCAGCCTGGTCTCCATAGCGAATCCAGGACAGCTGGGGAGACCCTGTCTCTAAAAGACCAGAAAAACAAACAAACAAAAAACCAAAAAACAAGGTGTGGTAGAGCACACATGTAATCCCAGCACTTGGGAGATGGAGGCAGAAAGATTAGAAGTTCATATGAGCTGGAAGACAGTCTAGGATGTATGAGACCCGGTCTCATACAAAACCAAATAAACCCACCCAACAACAGACAGGAAAAGCCCCAGGAAAGAAGAGTAGGAAGCAGCCACCTTTGACCCCAGTTCCCAGGGCGGGGATAATTTGTGGATGCCTGGGGAGTGAGCTCACTGGAACCCCACCGTGCCTCACCTCAGCCATGCAACCACTAGAGGGCAAGAGAGCTCTTCGGGAACTCTGCTGCTCTCCTAGGGGAGAAATGCTCACAGGTGCTGTGGGAAGCACCAATGCCGTCAGACTGAGGCTGAGAACAGAAGTGGTCACTGGAGGTGACCAAGCCTCGAGTCCCAGTCTCATGCCCAGAACATCGAGAGCAGGGCTCAATCCTCTATGCAGCTGGCAGCTGACTCCCCACAAAGACAGGGCCAGGTTTCTCTCCCAAGGGGAAAGGGAATCCCCATTTGGCCCCCAGCCTAGGCAGGTACATCTTGTAGGTCACAGGGCCACACCTAGCAATGTCCAAACTTTGACCCTCCTTGGAACTCAAGGCCTCACTTGTCCCCTACAAATATCAGAAGGGTCAATACAGGTACCCCAATACTGAGTTCCTGAGAGAGCAGGCCCTGAGGTGGAGGACTCTTATAACAGGACCTGGGCCTGCTGCCCCCAGCAGCCATGAGGTCCTCCTCTGGGACAGACTGATCCCTCTGGAAACTAGGAGTCCATGACATAGGGTTGGGGGTGGGGGACCCTTTGGTCAGGGAGCAGATAGGAAGGGCACAGCCAGGACCTGGCCCCCTGCAGTGCCCTGGGACAGGCTTCCAGTCCAGTCCTGTTACTATGTTGGATCCCTGTATATGGAAACCCACAGGGACTCAGGATTCCCATCTTGGATCACCCACAGGAGTAAAGGAGGAGGGTGGGAAGGCAACTTGGGGACTTCAACATAAGCCTTTGGAGACCACATCACAGTTATGAAATAAGTCAAAGGTTGAACTGTTGCCCACGGAGACAGAGGCCTCCCTCCATCACTGAAGGGAGCTGGATGAGGAGAGGGATGGGCTGGCCACAGACCAGAGTCCAGGAGCTGGGGACCAGTGTCTGGAGGTACACACACACACACACACACACACACACACCCCTGCCCTGTATTTTCCACTTGCAAAGTCAGTTACCAGGATCCG